CTCTGTAAATTGCTTTGAATTACCCAACGACGGAAAAACCACGCCGTTTTTGTTTTGGTCATACTTAAGTTGCTATTTCAGACAGTGAATTATCAATCAATCACTGTAAAATAATTTGCCCTTTGAAAACGTTTCTCAGTAGGTAAACAAAAAATTAACAGAAGGCAATGATTTAACACGTGGCATAATAACGAAAAAAACACCCCTTGGAACGATTTGTTCAAAGCAATATCAATTCGGCTAGTGATTATAGCTGATTATCAACCAAAAGCACAGTATGAACTAACAGTTAGAGTCTTGAAAGAAAAGCGAATCTTGAATGGAATCTTTCTTACCTACGCACAGAATTAGCAGGAGAATTGTTGTACCCTGCATTTTGTTGTCTAGTGTTTCTTGGTCAAGAAGCAAACGTCGACTGCCTACGGAGTTTTTGTGCTCAAGATTAAATGTACCACGGATCTTGATGACTCAGTTTTATCCATGGAAACCAAAGTTCAGACATTCATGCATTAAAAAGTTGTCAATCTTCTCGGTCCCATTAGCGAATAGTCCTATTATATTAGCGAAAAGAGCTCTTAATTTAAATTTTCGCGAGCTAGCGTTATTCTATGAAGAAAATTATACAAACTTAAAACTTTCTTTTCTTTTTTCCCGCAAATTGTCTCTAAGACAGAAAAAAATATAATAGTTAAAACGCTTAACGTTTACCTGTTAAAACCTCTCCTCCAGCTACGGTGAATCGACCAATTTTGCAATAACACGTTTTTCCATTTTTTTTTTAACTCAAAAAAAAGTAAGCCTCAGCGCTTAATTCAGCACACCGAATTTAAGAAAATTCGATGCAAACTCGTGGAAATATGGGACCCAAAACTTGCCATTTTTAACAAAGAAATGTATACCACTAGAGGGGATGTGTTTTCACGCCATACATTTGTTTGTCACCAAGTTTGAGCTCCCATATTTCCATGAGTTTGCAACGGATTCTTATAAAACTTTGCAAACTTGCTAAATTTGGCGCGATAAATTGATCTGTGGAGGTAGTTTCTATTTACATGAAAAAAAAAAAGTAAAAAAAATAAAAAATAAATTAAAAAGGAGTCTGAGCCGAGCTCTTAGAAGTAAAAAGCCGTTGAGGTGTCTGCTTATTGCAGGCTTTGTGCTACAAAATGGCTTAGAATTGGTGTTTGCGTCCGCTTAACAGATTTGTAAGCTGAATGTAGGTTTAGTTTAAAGTAAATGTTGGAAGAGAAGTTTGGGACTCAAGCTGGTGTCCACTTGAAAGAGGGTGTCCCCTTAATATGGGGTGCGCTTAATACAGGTTTCACTGCATATCTTTCAAAGAAAAATAGCCAGAGGCAATTATCAATGAAGCTTGCCAGCAATTTTAGAATCTGTGGCGAAAATAGTCTATAGTTAAGGTATTGTGATGGCAAACAATCAATTTACAATTCTTTTTTTTTTCTCTTGATGTGAGTTACCTATGTTAACTCAGATTAAAAACCTACAGTGGGCGACAAAAGCAGTAAAAAATGCGATATTTAAACGCTTATTCTATTTCAAATCCTTTGTTTGGGAAGGGGAGGGGGGATATTTCCAAGAAGCGCCAAACGAGAATTCTGCCGCGAAATGTCTGAACACTTTTGTTGCTCTTTTTATTTTTGGATTTTCTTAAAGAAACGCACCCTTACTTGAGAGGGGTTAAAGGTAATATGCGCGCTTTTTTATCCACGGCCAAGGAGAAGCTAAACAAATAAAACAAAACAAACAGCTTCTTCGACTTCGTCTCAGTTTCATTCGGGATTAGCCGCGACAAAAATAATTTGTTGGCCTTAACTGAAAACAAAGCACAAATTGTCTGTAAGACAGAAAAAGATATCATCACAGCCATAAATATCTGTATAGGGGTATTTTTATTTCCTAATTTGGAAGTTTTTTTTAAAGGTAGATTCATGGGAGTAAGCCTTGAAATTTGGCAACGTCGACAAAATCTAATTGTTGTAGTTATATCATTTTAGGAATGGCCTGTCTGAAAAAGAGTTTCCTTGCGAACCCAACCGATATACAAGATGCTCTTACACGAATAACGTTGAAAATAAGAAGTTGCCAAAGGCAGGAAAACATATTTATCTCTTGTTACACTGTAATTGCAAATTTAGGTGCCCCTATCCACGGTATGTAAACACATTTTGTTTCAAGCAAAGTTTTAGAAAACATTCTCTACTTGATAACAATTGTTGTTAAAAGTTTAAACAGGGACGGTGACAGCCTCTGCTTTGAAAAGTCACTGGGATGAGGGAAGCTGCTTTCAGTTCCCTTTAACATACGAAATTTGCAAAGACCTATCCGTTCTAGTTAAATTCTATTCGTTAATTTAGTCTCCCTTGACTTTCTTCTCTTCTCGCAGCCAGACAGTATTTTTACTGAACGACGTTTCGTTTAAAATCTATGAGCCTCTGTAAATTGCTTTGAATTACCCAACGACGGAAAAACCACGCCGTTTTTGTTTTGGTCATACTTAAGTTGCTATTTCAGACAGTGAATTATCAATCAATCACTGTAAAATAATTTGCCCTTTGAAAACGTTTCTCAGTAGGTAAACAAAAAATTAACAGAAGGCAATGATTTAACACGTGGCATAATAACGAAAAAAACACCCCTTGGAACGATTTGTTCAAAGCAATATCAATTCGGCTAGTGATTATAGCTGATTATCAACCAAAAGCACAGTATGAACTAACAGTTAGAGTCTTGAAAGAAAAGCGAATCTTGAATGGAATCTTTCTTACCTACGCACAGAATTAGCAGGAGAATTGTTGTACCCTGCATTTTGTTGTCTAGTGTTTCTTGGTCAAGAAGCAAACGTCGACTGCCTACGGAGTTTTTGTGCTCAAGATTAAATGTACCACGGATCTTGATGACTCAGTTTTATCCATGGAAACCAAAGTTCAGACATTCATGCATTAAAAAGTTGTCAATCTTCTCGGTCCCATTAGCGAATAGTCCTATTATATTAGCGAAAAGAGCTCTTAATTTAAATTTTCGCGAGCTAGCGTTATTCTATGAAGAAAATTATACAAACTTAAAACTTTCTTTTCTTTTTTCCCGCAAATTGTCTCTAAGACAGAAAAAAATATAATAGTTAAAACGCTTAACGTTTACCTGTTAAAACCTCTCCTCCAGCTACGGTGAATCGACCAATTTTGCAATAACACGTTTTTCCATTTTTTTTTTAACTCAAAAAAAAGTAAGCCTCAGCGCTTAATTCAGCACACCGAATTTAAGAAAATTCGATGCAAACTCGTGGAAATATGGGACCCAAAACTTGCCATTTTTAACAAAGAAATGTATACCACTAGAGGGGATGTGTTTTCACGCCATACATTTGTTTGTCACCAAGTTTGAGCTCCCATATTTCCATGAGTTTGCAACGGATTCTTATAAAACTTTGCAAACTTGCTAAATTTGGCGCGATAAATTGATCTGTGGAGGTAGTTTCTATTTACATGAAAAAAAAAAAGTAAAAAAAATAAAAAATAAATTAAAAAGGAGTCTGAGCCGAGCTCTTAGAAGTAAAAAGCCGTTGAGGTGTCTGCTTATTGCAGGCTTTGTGCTACAAAATGGCTTAGAATTGGTGTTTGCGTCCGCTTAACAGATTTGTAAGCTGAATGTAGGTTTAGTTTAAAGTAAATGTTGGAAGAGAAGTTTGGGACTCAAGCTGGTGTCCACTTGAAAGAGGGTGTCCCCTTAATATGGGGTGCGCCAGTGATACAGGTTTCACTGCACATCTTTCGAAGAAAAATAGCCAGAGGCAATTATCAATGAAGCTTGCTAGCAATTTCAGAATCTGTGGCGCAAATAGTCTATAGTTAAGGTGTGGTGATGGCAAACAATCAATTTACAATTCTTTTTTTTCTCTTGATGTGAGTTATCTGTGTTAACTCAGATTAAAAACCTACAGTGGGCGACAAAAGCAGTAAAAAAATGCGATATTTAAACGCTTATTCTATTTCAAATAAATCTAGCGATAATTCTCTGATACCCATTTTGTTTGGGAAGGGAAGAGGGGATGTTTCCAAGAAGCTCGAAAAGAGAATTCTGCTGCGAAATGTCTGAACACTTTTGTTGCTCTTTTTATTTTTGGATTTTCTTAAAGAAACGCACCCTTACTTGAGAGGAGCTATAGGTAATATGCGTGATCTTTTATCCACATCCAAGGAGAAGCTAAACAAATAAAATTGATACAGCTTCTTCGACGTCGTCTCAGTTTCAAAATGTACAAAATGCTCTTACATGAATAATGTTGAAAATAATAAGTTGTCAAAGGCAGGAAATATATTTATCTCTTGCTACACTTGAATTGCAAATTTTAGTGCCCCTATCTACGGTGTGTAAACACATTCTGTTTTAAGCAAAGTTTTAGATAACATTTTCTACTTGATAACAATTGTTGTGAAAAGTGTAAACAGGCGGACGGTGACAGCCTCTGCTTTGAAAAGTCACTGGGATAAGGGAAGCTGCTTCTAGTTCCCTTTAACATACAAAATTTACAAAGAACTATCCGCTCTTGTGAAATTCTATTCGTTAGTTTAGTCTCCCTTGACTTTCTTCTCTTCTCGCAGTCAGACAGTATTTTTACTGAACGGCGTTTCGTTTAAAATCTACGAGCCTCTGTAAATTGCTTTGAATTACCCAACGACGGAAAAACCACGCCGTTTTTGTTTTGGTTATATTTAAGTTGCTATTTCAGACATTGCTTTGTCAATTAATCACCGTAAAATAATTTGCCCTTTGAAAACGTTTCTTTAGGTAAACAAAAAATTAACAGAAGGCAATGACTTAAAGCGTGGCTTAATGAGGAAAAAAAAAAACCCTTGGAACGATTTGCTCAAAGCAATATCATTTCGGCTAGTGATTAAAGCTGAGTATCGACCAAAAGCACAGTATGAAACAGTTAGAGTCTTAATTGAAGAGAAGCCAATCTTGAATGGAATCTATCTTACCTACGCCCAGGATTAGCAGGAGAACTGCTGTACTCTGCATTTTGTCGTCTAGTGTTTCTTGGTCAAGAAGCAAACGTCGACTACGTACAGAGTTTTTGTGCTCAAGATTAAATGTACCACGGCTCTTGACGACTCAGTTTTATCCATGGAAACCAAAGTTCAGACATTCATGCAGTTAAAAAGCTGTCAATCTTCTCCGTGCCGTTAGCGAAGAGTCCTATTATATTAGCGGAAAGTGCTCTTAATTAAAAAAACATTTTGCGAGCTAGCGTTATTTTACGAAGAAAATTATTCAAACTTAAAATTTTCTTTTCTTTTTTCAAAGATTAAATCCGCACAAATTGGCCACATTCCCGTTGCCGTTGCCGTTGCCATCGTGGTTTTCGTAAACTCCCTAATAACTCGGCTATTGATTATGTGCTTTTTGTGTGGGATACCTGATACCTGTGATATCCCACACTAATGTCATCGGCTCGTGTCCGTTAATGCGACCGAGACATTCCACACTTGTACCCTTTTTGGGTACCTATTTTTTACATGACTCTCTCTGTGACTGAAGTCATGGTCCGTTATTAGGTTATTACGTGCTGATTATTCTTCTGGAAGAATCTTTCTGCCGATTTTCTGAAATCTTTCTATCGAGTTTCTGTTCCTTTGCCATCAGCGCCACAAACAATAATACACCATTATAGTGCTATGTTAGTCTATAAGGAGTTCTTAAAATGCCAGATTTTGTGAAGATCGACAGATATCCTAATCCATTTCTTCTACATGAGTTTCTTTATAGTTATGTCGCATTCGCCATGGATACCAATCAACTAGGAAACGATGTGAGAATATCCGCAGTTGAAAAAGAATCTGAAATATGGTGTGGAGTCCCAGAGAAATGCCAGAATTTCTCATATTTGTCCATGTTTCTCTCAAATTCTAGTACTGAATCTCAGCTTGTTTTAGCAGGAAATCCGAAAATCTGAATCTCCTGCAGTTGACCGTTATGAACACGAATATATTAACACAAGAATACTTTTATCTTAAAAGACATACATTCTCACTAAGAAATTTACCCTGCTATAAGGCTCAGACGGGGATTGTGATCGATTCTTCGTAACTCCAGTCATATAAACGGTGTCTGGCAAACGTTTTGGGGCCAGATATGTCAACGTTTTCAGCGTGAATTACGTGGCTGTGATAATATGTTTATTGAACGTAAACAACCTGCTGTCTGTGCCTAAAGCTATGGTCTGTCACTACAGAAGAGTGGTTATTATTTTTCTTTCTAACCGTCAGTTAGCAGACGGAATTGAGAGTATATATTCCGAGCCCTCTGGTTTGCTAAGTTCATATTTTCTAATTTTCACTAAGTGAAAGTGCTTCAGCACAAAATTAAGTTATTCAAGGCTTACTACGTGTTTTCAAATTTCTGGTTTCACTGGTTTGACACGTTTTACTGTTATCGATTCAAACGTCGGCGTGTAAACTTGGGATGCCGTTTTGTTCGTTAGACGCATTTTTATGACAGTCCAAGTCGTTGCTAACTTTCTCAATTTTATAAATAAGTAATTAGATGAATACTAACCAGCGAATTCAGATAATTCGAATGTCTTTGTTGTTTGTCTGCTCTATTAAATTCTGCTAACTGTACTCGGTTTAATGTTCGTCTAAGGCCATCTGGTTGGTTGAACTTGAGTTTTCGTTCAGTGTTGATTCTGCTCTAGTTCCTTTCCTAACGGATAAATCCCGAATTCTTGAGGAGTACACAGTTTATATTGAAACACCATTATTTACAGGAAACAGCACAGGGAAGCGGCAGTTCTCCCCCTGTTAAGATGTTTAAACACGACACGCCTTCTCAGAGGGTTATGTCAACACGAAAAGCCGCCAGCCAATAAATTAACAGAACCTCTAGCATTAGATGCAAGCTGTTAGGTGGACGACGAGTAGTCCCTCTTTCGATTAGTTCGTCGTGCTTGACGCGAAAGAAAGCCGCAAGGAAAAAAAAAATGCCCCGCGAAATTTGGCGCAGCCATGTTTTCCTCGCGGTTTATTTACGGTCACCCTCGACAGACTGAGCGAAAGAGGAACTACCCGTAGTCTTACAGTTAGCAGTAAAATAGACTTCCGCATGAGAGCGATAGTATTACAGTCATGTTCTCCCGGCCTGCTTGCTTTGTAGTCAACAATAGGAAAAGTGTTAAAAGGAAAGCGCTTTACACGACAACAAAAGGATGTCGAAGACCAAGTGCTCACGCAAGGAATTTTCTCTAAGTGGCGCCCTCTGTAAATTTCAATTATGGCCATTTGGACCAGAAAAAATCAAATTCCTCGAACTTTCTCAGATGAATGGTCTAGATAAGTGATTCACAAAAATATAACTTTCAGTTCAATTCGTATTGATTTAAACATGAGCTTCTGCTTGCAGGCATTTTCTAGGTTATTTTTGCAGGGTAGGTGGTGGTGGTGGGGGGGGGGGGGTCTTGTATATAAAAAAAAAAAAAATCAAGAAAAAAGAAAACGATAGACAGTATCACGTCAAAAGATTATGATCTGTGTATCTTGATCAGCTTTATCAGTTCATCAGTGAGGCCCTATTAGGGGTTTTCAAGCAGAAGCTCATGTTCAAATCACTCTGGTAAAGCCAGTTACTAGCTTAGTCATAGAAATGCATAAAATGGCTTTAATGGCGGTTACATTTTCACTTCCTACCCACCATACCCCTACCCGTTGGAATGTGCATTTGTCAGATGTAACGCAATCTGTGGAATAATGGCGGGTGCACAGCAGATCAAAACAGAACTGAGCTTAAACGAGTTCTTGATGAGAGTCCTCGATTAAGAGGAGGATTTTAAAGGCTGCT